TGGTCAGGAAGGACAGAGTGAGCCGAAGGGGCGTGGCCTGGACATCACAGATCCTGCCCCCTGCACTAGTGACTGACAGCTCAGTTCAGAGGGGCAGGAGTATTAACTGGGTCAGTGTATTAACGACGTGTCACAAGGCAGGATACTGGGCGGCGTCTGTTACAGAGACCAGTCGGACAAGGGAGCAGGATGAGCAGCTGCTTAAACATCCATCCCTAATGTGTAGAGAGAAAGACAGTGTTATCGGGGGGGGGGGTGGTTCATTGTCTGTGGAGGGGGAGACATGCTGGAGCTTTCATGCTGCCACTAGTAAGATATGCTTGAAAGGTTCTAAAAATTATAGATGACTTTCTGACACAAGAATTGGGGTCATTCCTCATTCTGACAGATACAGCTGAATTGATCATAGAACTAAATTTGATGGTTGCGTAGGCATAAGCCATCATGACAATTTCATTTACTAGGTGCAAACAGAATATAGTCAAGTCCAGGCATGTAGATACTTGATGCTTTAAAAGGGCCAACTTCCCCAAAGTGAAAACAACCATGAGCAAAACTGAGGGGGAGGAAATATTTAAACATGCAAATGTGGATGATGATTGGGAATGGTTTAAGAATGCTTTATTAGATGCAAAACCAAACAACAGACACTCACTGTTCTGCAATCACAAAAGAAGGCTTTTTAATTAATAAAAAAAATCCTAGTGAAGAGGAGAGGTGAAAGAAGCAACCAAAATGTACGTATAAAAATGGGGAAGCTGATACCATGGAATACGTATCAGCAGGTAAGAAATGCAGACAATTGAAAAGGGAAGCTAAAAGTATCCGTGAAAAATCTAATTTTCAAAAGTGCCTAAATGACTTAGGAGCCTGAATCCCGTTTTCAAAAGTGACTTAGGTTATTAGGGTCCTGAAAAGGTGTGTGATCTGGAAAGCTCTTCAGCTGCACCATACCATGAGAGCCAGCAGGCAGGAGAAAAAGGCCAGCTCAGGGATGGGGCTGGGGTC